CATATTTTGTAAATAAGAATGAAACCGTTTCCTCTATATCTCCTGTCACCTTTACCTTTTTCTCAATTTGACTTTCTCCTCTCCGCTGCTGATCCCCAACATAAAAGGAAAGATACCCGATCCTTCTCCTCTCAGCTTCCTCTTTTCAATTTCACTCTTTTTTTTCTCACTTTAACTTTCCTTATATCTCCACCAACATCCACTATTTCCCTCTCTTGACCCTTTCTTTTTCTATTGTCCCCCCTCCCCGCCCCCATCGCACAGTCTCCCTCTTCATCTTCCTCTCTCTCTGAAACCTGATTTACCGCTTGTTAACATCAAAGGGACGTTAGACTGTTGGTGCCTCAAACTATTTCTTCAATATTTTATATTCCAGGTGAAAATCAGTGTGAAAACTGCACGCGGTTACTGTGGCAGCGTTAAGTTTCCAGTGAAGGTAAGACAGGAGCAGCTGAGGGAAACACAAAGGTTCTGCTTGAAGTGCCACTGTAGCCGTAGGTCTGTCATCTCTACGACAGGTTCCTGAACTACTTTAGCTCTTTGGTTCAGTGCCCAAAAGAAACATTCAAGGAAAATTAAGTTTGAGTTCATTTTGTCAGCATTTCAAAAAAATGTCAAAGAATAGGGTAAAAACTATCAGGTCGGGAAGATTAAGATTTAAAAGTGTTGAATTTGATTGAGGAATGAACTGCAAATTACTTATACAGAATGCATTTAAGGCAAGACAAGTTTATGTGGCCCTTTTCAACACAAAGCAATTCAAAATGCTTTATAAATCAAAAAAAATGTAGGATAATTACAAGATATTCATCTCTTTATCATTGCTCTACAAAGATAATTGCATTGAAGTTGTTTACACTTTAATTGTTTTTCTTCCATTTTATTCGTATATGTTCATGTTAAAATGACCGATCACACAGCAAATAGCTTGAGTGGTGAAACAAATGTTTTAATGCACATTTTATGATATTATTAAATATTTTACTCGTAGCTTTTTGTTAGGCTGTATTGCCGTTTACATTTGACTTGTCTCTCCCTTTCCTCTGTTTTTTTTCTCTTAGTATATTTAACTGTGTGTGTGTGTGTATGTGTGTGTGTGTGTGTGTGTGTGTGTGTGTGTGTGTGTGTGTGTGTGTGTGTGTGTGTGTGTGTGTGTGTGTGTGTGTGTGTGTGTGTGTGTGTGTGTGTGTGTGTGCACAATGTAGTAACTGCTTTTGTTGTCTTTTGTTTTCTTAGTTATGTTCTCTGTATTTTATATGTTTGTGTTATGTGTTATGTGTAACGTTGCTGCCTTCTTGGCCAGGTCAGCATTGTAAATGAGATTTTATCTCAATGCTTTTTATCTGGTTAAATAAAGGTTAAATACAAATAAATAAAAAACTACAGCTGCCAGAGACATGATGTGGAGATGGCGAACGAATTAACGAATTAATACATGCCCACACACACGCACGCACACACGCACGCACGCACGCACGCACGCACGCACGCACGCACGCACACACACACACACACACACACACACACACACATACACACACCACACACACAACACACAACACACACACCACACACACACCACCACACACACACACAACCAACACACACACACACACACACACACACACACATCTGGACCAGACAGCTAGTGGAGTGCCATAGGATAGATGAGAGATTCTCGGAAATAATGAGAAGAGCTCGTTTAAAGTCGCTTCTGTCCTCGCCCGTTTCTTTTATTAACTTCTCTAATTAACAAGTAAAATTCGTCAATTTATCTGACTATAACACTACACCATATTGTTTCGAATGCTTTACCAAATGTTTTCATGAACAGGCACTATGTCTTTTTGATTTATGTGTAGTTTGCTCCATGTTGTTGTTTTTTGGTTAATAGCTGTTGGGCGTATTCTTCGTGGACTGGTGTGTTTACATCGATAATCCGTTGATATCCTCGCATTAAAAGAGTAAGCAATAATAATGGATGAATAGTAGATATCTTTGAATGCTCTTTGTGTGAGTGAACCCACATGTACACTTAGATTTTTCATTCTAGGAAGATTTTAAACAAAGAAGAACACGCCATTGTACACACACTTAGATTCATCTTAAATAAGCTCATCTGGTATCCTTACAGATGCTGGATTGGTGTAGAGGATGTGAATCATCTCTTTGCGCCCTGCTCCGGCTCGAAGTACATGTAGAAGACCAACTGAACCCAGATGTAGATTGAGTAAGCACCACCCGCCGTTGTGGCATGTAAGCACTGGAGCGGTCCATTTCCGGCCATCTGCTAACAAGCGCTTGGTAATTAACACTGTTCTTCTCTAGTAACGTCACACATTTGGGACAACATGTATGGAGCTCTCTCGCTCTTAGGTGTCTCTACCAACAAACGTGACTTAGTCTAGCACCGATATGATGCAAGTCCATGCAATTAAATGCCCTTAGCACATGAGAGTAATCTCACAAGTGGAAGTAATAGTATTTTCTTTTGGTCATTTGAGGTAAAAACAAAGCCTCCTTGTTACGCTCGCAAATAGTTAGAAATAACTCTGGCTCTCAAAAGGTTCTCTGTGTGTGTCAAGGAATGCCACCAAATTGTTTTCAGGGAGGATCATAAGTCTGTGTGACCCATCACAATGGAAATATCATCTCTGGCATGCACGTGTCCCAGACTAAACTCTTCTTTTTATCTTGTCCTCCTCTCAGGTTTCCCCCAAACTGTAACCAAAGGTCTTGGGTGAACGGTAAAGGGAAAATGGCGCGGTCGGCAGTCTCTGCGGTGAACTTTCACCTTTAACCTGCCACCATTTCGGCCTGTGCAGCTCACCGTTTGGGTGCCCAAAGAAGCTCCTCTGCAGATAGGACGTTGTCGGACACTGAGCCTGAGCCAGGTCCAAAGGTGGAGCGGTACCCCATGCATCACCACAAAGGTACTATGGACCTTTATGCCTTAAAGGGCCAGTTGTTGTAATTGGGAGGAATATATCTAATCGTATCTAGATGCAGGGTGTAAGGGTCGATGGGGACTGAAAAGCTTTATGGCAAATGACTCCAAAGGGAAGAAAATACCAAAGATCAGTAATGTCAAAAGGAAATGTTATTGCCTTACACTGGATACTTCTTGGTTCATCCATTAATCGGTTTGCTTCTAGCTTAGCAAATGTCCAACTGACAGTAAGGTTGGCATCCTTCTTTGGAACACCGTATCTTGCATGGGGCTGTGTGTAAGGAGGAAGGCATCTTTATTCCCCAATTTAATTCATAGTCATGTTTGGGAATAGGCTGATGAGGGATCCATCTCTTTATATTTATATAATCCAAACAGTGCCTGGCTTGTTCTTCTAAAAGAGCCCAACCATAGTTTTAGCAAATACAATTGTGTACAAAAGCATGTAAGTGTGCCATTAGAGGGTGTTTTTTGTTGTGTGTATTGTATTTGCTTTATGGCTGGTGTAAAAACAAATGGTTGGCATTCTGTTGTTTACTTGCCAGCTTGACATGATGCTAATATAATCCTGTTTAGTTTTCAATACATCGTCCCAAAGCTGATATTTAAATTAGTTCTGATGACCTATTTGTAAAGCTGTATAATGTTAAATATGTTCCTTTTGGTTGGATAAGTTGCCCTTTAATAACACTTTAGAAATCAATACTGATGGATCCAAGGGCCACACCAAAGATCACCTTGTAACATCATGTGTATAAATACCCCAACAACATCTGCTGTGTTTTTTAACAAATTGCCTTAGACACACTTTTTTAAATAAAAAAACAATGTGATTACACCCAAGGTTATTGAATTATTAAATGTAATTATAATATTAATGTGAATGTTATGAGGGAGGCAGGAAAACAACCAGGGAAGCAGATATTACTCTAACTTTACTACAGCTCTGGTCCCATCCGAAAGAGCAAGCAATTTTTTTCCACCAAAAAATAACTTGCTAAGTAAATAAATATAAAAAAAATGAATCACTTATATTACATAACTAATTATGTTTGTGTTAAAAAATGTGTGTATAAAACGGGAAGATGTGTAATGGAGTGGTCCTTGTT